TAAAACGTCAACATGAGATATACAATTGAATCATATTCATGAGAGTAACATTTGAACACCTCTTTACAAGAACAACATACAATAACTGTAGTTTTAATGTTTTACATAAAATAGAAAAAACCTACATAATTTCTAGGAAAGAATTTGGAAACTTGGAAATGATATTATTTATAGATATTATATATAATATTCAAATTTCCAATTCTTTCATAGAAATTAGATTTTTTCTATTGTATGTAAAATATTAAAAATACAGTTATAATCACCTAAATATGGCCATAAACTAGTTTGTCATAATTAGTATTTGATAAACTCCAAGCTTTCCCCATTCCACCCCCTACCCATCCTAAAGATGGGTAGCGGGTGAAAGTTCTTTTGGAAAACGAAAGTACACTTCAAAATTTAGTCCGAGTTTCAACAGAGAGCATGTAGTCCCATAAGTTTAAATCTAAACTCGTAGTGTTAAATGTGTTGTGTTTTTTACAAAATACGGAACAACTTAATGTAAGTGCTGCTGTAAGACGTACTTCGTTGATGACTGGTATTAGCGAAAGAAGCATTTACAATTTCAAAAAAGAAAAAGAACAGAGTGGAACGTTGAAATCGCCGTTGAAACGTAAAAAACGAGTGTGTCAATCAAATTCTAGAATATTCACATATGACGAGGGTAAGAAGTATTCCACGGAGAATTGTTCATTGTGAATTTTTCATGAAAAATTTGCCGCCATTCTTAAAGCATATACATAACTTCATACAAGGTAATGAGAATATACAGCCGTTGTCTCTTTCTACTTTATACAGAGTTCTGAAAGATATTGGATTTGTTTACAAGAAACGTGGCCGAAAAAGCATCATGGTGGAGCGAGAGGATATTATTCATTGGCGCCATAATTATTTGAGAACTATACGACGTTTGCGAAAAGACCATTGCAATATCATATATTTGGACGAATCGTGGGTTAATGTTGGCCAACCTATAAATTACGAATGGTGCGATACTACGATACAAACCAGTCGTGATGCTCTCAAAGGTTTAAGTAATGGCTTAAAAGCACCTACTAAACGAGGTCCACAATATGTTTTATTGCATGCAGGTTTTTCAGGAGGTTTCCTTCCTGGCACACAGCGTGTTTTTCTGGCAAAGAAAAATGATGGCGACTATCACGATGAAATGGATGCCGCATATTTTGAGTCGTGGTTTAAGGAGACATTAATATCAAATTTACCAAATAATGGTAAATGACAATACATCGTACCACTCCCGTAAAGAGAGATTCCCTAACAATTCCTGGAATAAAGCTTCAATCAAGGAATGGCTAGTGGAAAAAGACATTTTTTTCGAGGAGTGTTATTTGAAATCCGAGCTATTAGAAGCAGCGCGTGCTTTTAAAGACCAATACGATAAGTAACATCTTGATGAGTATGCTTCACAACATAATGTTTATATTTTAAGGCTTCCTCCATATCACTGCGAATTGAATCCTATAGAAATGGTGTGGAACCAAATTCTCGCTAAAAACTTAAGGTCTTTTTATTCAAATTCATGCCTCTTATTTGGCTACTTGAAGGCAATTATTTTATTATTTTATTATTTTATAATAAATAACAGAGCCCGGCGTAGAGATCTGGGTACGGTTCTATGACTACCACTTGGACCTGTTCTGTTTGTATCGCCAAGCACAAGGCGTGTAATCCGGCAATTGTGCATTCCTATATTAGCCGTACTACACTCTCGGTGTGACATTTTCTATAGAAGCACTGCAATGCTTAGTAAATAAATTACATCAAGTCAGTAGAAAATATGGACTACAAATGAACGTTAAGAAAACCATGTTTATTTCTAAGCATAATAAGGCTAGATATAGAGGGAAAACAAGTAGAAAGAGTAAAAAACTACAAGTATCTGGGGGAAACTGGATAAATGAAAACAATGACCAAGGTAGAGAACTAAGAACATGCATAAAAATTGCAAGACAAGGATTTATAAAAATGAAAACAATATTTGTTAATCGAGACCTTCCTCTGGCGTTGAGGATAAGAGTCTTAAGATGCTACGTGTCCTCGACTTTATTATATGGAATGGAAAGCTGGACAATAAAAGCGGATAATATAAAGAAGTTGGAATCATTTGAGATGTGGTGCTATAGAAGGATTTTGAAAATACCATAGACATAACGATTTACAAATGCAGAAGTGTTAAGAAGACTACAAAAGGATTGCGAGGTCATAAAGCACATCAAAACAAGAAAGCTAGAATATTTAGGCCCTACCAGAGGTGCGAAATATGAGAAGGCTTATAATTCCAGGTAAAATCAAGGGTAAAACATCCACAGGAAGACGAAGAATTTCCCGGCTAAGAAACCTAAGAGAGTGATATAGTTGCAGTTCAGTAGATCTTTTTAGAGCAGCCGCCAATAAGGTACGGATAGCTGTGATGATAGCCAACCTCCGATAGGAGAAGGAACTACAAGAAGAAGAAGAACAAAGATATCTGACGCAGAAAAAATATTATATGGGTAGCTACATACATAATACCATCTGCATACAACAACATTAATAGTTCAGTATTTCCATCTATAGGGATGTCGCGGCAGCCTTTGCTTTAAAGTAATACTCTACGTTAGACAGAAACATTGAGAATACAAAACGAGTTTGTGTAAAAACATGGCGATGTGTAAGAGCTATTAGTTCGGACATGTGTAGTATCATTTGCGTAAAAATTCTGCAATAAACCAACAACACGTGACCTGACTCCACAGCTATACAATTTATGCCTGAGGAAAAAGTGGAACTTTGCGGATCTGTATCTGTGTAGCGGAAGGGAGTGTGTATACGTTGTCAGTGCATCCTCTATTCGACCGAAATCGTCATAACCAGTTCTGGATGACTGTGGTGTAATCTTAATAATTCAAGCCTAATTTTTTTTTAGAATGATTTTAGTAACTCATGTCAAGATACTCATTTTCCACGATAAGCTAATTTCTCCTAGTAATATAAGGTTACCATTCCTCTTCCTTGGGATCTGAACATCCACGCTTTATAAAAGGTATTACTTGTTTCTTCCTTTGTTTCCGCCTGTATATTTAATGCTAAAATGCTCTCCAAAAATGGTTGTTGTTTGGTGATCTGACAATATGGTAAACTGTCTACCAGGTATATGAAAGTTTTTTAAGACAAACACATATGTATATGTGTTCCCTCTTCCTGGACTTGACGATACTTTCTCTTTGTTGGAGAACAAAGCTTCTTCATCGCGAATTTCCGTTCGGCCTTTACTGAATTATCTACACCATTTTCAAACATGTTAAACAGATATGTACTTTTCTCCATAAATTTCGATTAACGGAGGATGAATGCCAATAGGTGAAATCCGTTTTGCATTTAAAAAACGAATCACACCTCCATCTTCGAAGGCTGTTAGGCCGGCACGGAATCAGCCTGGGCAATGTAGCGAGTGGTGGAGTGAGAGAGAAGAAGCGTAAGGCAATGTTGGCAGATTTCTCTCAGTACGTCGCATTCTTCCTCAGCGACATGGGAAACCTCTTTTTACGAATGGCCCTCGTATTATAATAATAATTATAATGGGCAAATATTTGCACAGACTTGATATATATTGAAACTGCGTTACATATTGCCTTACATATCTCTTGGTTATATATCATTTTGACACATTTTACAAATATTATAAAAAGACACCACCTGCAAAAATAAGATCATCTAACATCGGCAGTGGGTAATGATCAACTTTTAAAATAGGGTTTAATGTCTGCTTGAAAGTTCTGCACATTCTAATACCAGTGTTCTTTTTTAGAACTGGCTATATCGTAGCATTTTTTTTAATTTGTCCTGTATATCTAAGAACTGAAATTGGTTTATAATCTTTTTGCGTTTCTGAGATTGATAATCTAAACATTTAGGAGTCTGTTTATAGTTAGCAGCTGCTCTTTGGAGAATTGTTAGTTGCTTCACGAGGAATTAGTTTGATCTCAGTTGAGTAGGAATTAATGTTGTCACCGCGACACTTCCTTAGCTTTATTAGCTTGTTTCTTTATACATGCCATTCGTCCGTTTATAGCTTTTAATTGTATAACCCCGTTTCTTCTTTTTTTGTTGACCATAAATGCTGCTACCTTGTTTGTTTTCTACCGAGTAGTACATTGTGTAATTTTTCTTATTAATATTTCCTTCCCCCTTTGATCTTACTTCTTGCTACCTCTCCCATTTCCCTGGTCTCAATAATGTTTGCACGTTCCAGGTTTCAAGTTTTACTTTATTTTTCTTTTTGTTTTTTCTTTTTCTATCTCTTTTTCTTAGCTGAAACGGGCCACATATTAAGGTCTAATAACCCTTACATATTGAAATTCTTAAATTTTAAAATTGATGCGTCACGATGTCGATGTTCACTTTTAGGGAAAATACTGATTCCTATCGAAACAATGATCATACCAGCAAATTATTTGGTCAATATCTTTCTTCGAATACTAACGTCTATATTTCGAGTAGGGATCAGTATGTTCCCTTAAAGTGAAATCTTTTAACATCGACCTCTTGCCACATAAATTTTAAAATTTAAGAATTTCAATATGTAGTGTAAAGGTTATTTGACCTTAATAGGTGGCACTTAATGATGGTTTCGATTATTATTAAGATGTTTTATTGGTTTATTTATTTATTTGATATTATATTTAAATAAGTATATCAAATTGTATTTAATTTTGTCAGCTACTTTATGAACTAAAGAACACAAATTAACATGTTTGATGGTCAATTTCGTACAAATTGAATGACGATTTAATGATGATCAGAGGAATAATTCGAAAAAATTATATAAGGCATAAAATTATAAAAAGAGAAAAAGAAAAAAGAAAAAAAATATAAAAAGCTGCTATAAAATCATTATAGCGGCTGAATGGATCAAGTTATCAAAATCCATAAAAACAAAGCCAATCAAAAATTACACTGATTCGAGTTTCATTTATTTTTACAAGAACTAAACTTACCTTCTCGGTATCCTCATCTCCTTCCTCTGCTGCTTCCATGGCTCTTCTTTGGAACTCTCTCTCCAACTGGAGCACTCTAAGCTGTTCTTCTTGTTGTGCTGTTCGGTAAGGTAGCGCCAATAGGTCCCTGATCTGATGCTCCTGCCATTGTCTGGCGGCCTCCCTTCTCGCTTCCTGTTGCCTCTCTTGTTCCTCTCTCGCCCACGGGTCTCTAGGCGGTTTTGAAGAAGATGGTCCAGAAGTAGGATAAAAAGCCATTTTTGGTGGGTCTTGACTACTCGCTAAGTATAGAGGGTGAGTAGAAGATGGAGGTAGTTCAGGTGGAACTTCATCCTAAAAAAATTTGATTACAAAAGTGTCTGCTTGTATCGTAAGTTTAACACCGCCATTGGGTTTATTTACCTTTCTTAAGGGTTTAGGTACAACAGGCGGGATTTTGTTGTAACTAGGTGACAAAGGATTCGTTTGACCATAAGGCTGGTGCACATACTGAGGATTGATACTCAAATTCTGCATACTCTGTGTAGTCTGAGCCATCGCGTGGTGGTTGTAATAATGCTGTTGATTTTGTTGCTGCTGCTGTAGCTGCTGCTGTTGCTGCTGCTGTAGCTGCTGCTGTTGCTGCTGCTGTAGCTGCTGCTGTTGCTGCTGCTGCTGCTGCTGCAATTGCTGCTGTTGATAATAAGTGGTTTGTTGAGATGGCTGTTGAGAATGCTGCACACGTTGAGGATTCTGCCGCCTTCTGATTTCTTCTGACATTTCCGCTAGTTTAGCAGTACCTCGAGCGTTTCTCTCTTCGTTGCTGAGTCTGTGTTGAGTTAGTTGTTCTTGATTCTAGAAAATAGGCAATTACACATTTACCTTTGTATAATTCAAGTATTGCTTTGATAGTACGGAATAGCAAGTTCCACACAATTTAACACTATGATTCTTCTATTGGCTGCCATAAACCTTCTTTTGAGTGGCATAAATCAACGGAGAAACAACAGTATAATGCATAGAACAAAAGTTTTGACAAAATCTTTCCCTTGAGAAATTCCCACCCGATTTTTATATCTAATCTAGTGGCCATGGCAACAACAAGTATATTATGGTTTTTTTTATTGATACATGATAAACTTAATCATTAGATAAATTCAAACTATTGTGCAAACCTGAAATTTGCAAAAGTATTGCCATATTGTATGGTCGTCCAAACATGAAATTATTATATTAATTTATTCAGAGATCAAAAGCTTAACTACCCAAAGGTAACTTTATACCCAAAAATGTTAAACAAATATGCTTAATTTTAGTAATAATGGCCTGATCTCGCTTCGTGCTAATATGCCAGATAGGGTAATAAGGCAAAAATATACCCTGTTCGTGACCAAAAGCCAGCGTTTCAGGGTGCTGAAAGGTTTTTTTGATGTATAATACTTATACAAACATATTCGAATCATTTCCTGCGTGAGATTTGTTGATAATTTTTATTTATAAACAAATTAGTGTAAAAAATATACTAATGGCATTTTTATTTCATAATTGACAAAATAAGGTTTTATAGGTTTATTGGCATAACTAACTTTTAGCTTAGATTTGTTGTTTAGATAAATGTAAGAAAAAGAGCAAAATTTCAAAAAAATTATTTATTTATATTTCTTGCAAACATTGTTCATATATTGATCAAAGTTGGGTCTTGTAGTGCTTAATATATAGTAAAAATTTAGAAGCGATTCGTTGAATTGTTTAAATTTTAATCTATTTGTTTGTTTATCCAGCAAGTTGTTTTTTGCAATAGCATAAGTCAGAAAAAATACAGTTAGAACAATTTTTCGGTTTTCAAATAAGTCTAATTCTTTAAAAATCGTAAAAAAAATAAAGAAAAAAGGTATTTATTATCGAAAAAATATTTTACAAAAATATGCTTATTTTATAAATTTTTTCCTTATAAACAAATAGAATAACGTTTTTGTCAAAAATAATATAATTATTTTTACATATTCAGAAAGCGTATATTTTATGTAAATAATATATAAAATTATACAATTTTTAGTGACAATAAAGCATATTTCTATTCTATTCTATTTCATTCTATATTAAGTATAATAAAGCAGTCCACCAAATTTCATGTAAATCGATTTAATAGATTTTGCATACTAATTTTGCAATTTAAATTTACTAAAAAAAAATTGAAATTCTGAAAAAAGCAGTTTACTTTCTAACGTACTTTATGGAATTAAAATCAGATTATTTGGGCGACCACAGGAATGTTTTAAAATTATAAACAATTTTTTAGCTTATAAACAAATAGAAAATCTCGGTAACTATTAGATTAAATTAAATTTAGAAAACACCGTTGAAAATGACTCGAGAACAAGCTTCTTTTAAAAATACCAAAAAATTAGATAAGAAAAATTGAATTTCATAGTGAAAATTGGTACATGTAAAAAAATGTATTTTCCAAAACTGTTTCCAAATAAGATAATGGAGCAATTTGCTTCATTATATATAAAATTATATCTAATGATTAATGGTTATAAACGCATTACCAAATCCCAAAGATGCTGTAGTTTTGTTATAAATAAATAAATTTATACTCAAAAATTGGCTACAAGTAGCGTACAATAAAAACCAATGGAAAGTAAGACTTGAAGAGGCTTATGTTCAGATGTGGACGTGAATGGCTAGACGAAGAAGAAGAAGAAGAAGATACTCAAGCCGCCAGAAACGAAAATGCTGAACTTCTAAGAATTATAAGAACAAGCTGAATTGCAACAGAATGCAGCTTAAGAAAGCTGCAGTCTTCACATTTAAAACGCTTTTTGATTTTTGTTGATAGGACACTCTGATCAAAAGATATGGAATTTTACTTAAAATTGATTTTTCACGCCCTTAGCTGACATTCAAAATCGCCATATATATATATATATATATATATATATATATATATATATATATATATATATATATATATATATATACAGATTGAACGAAATAAATTCGGAACATAGGAATATAATGTATTTCGGCTCAATTCTGCTGTAGCTGGTTGGCCAACAAAAGATTGTCAAATAATTATATTATAAAAAATTCCATACTTCAGTGGGCTGCTGGATTCTGAACTCATAAAAATTGAAAGCTACACATAAATCTACGATTATGCTGTCAAACCAGTTATAGTCCAGGAAATGTAGCATTTCACCTCGCAATTTTTTCGTGCGGCGCGGATTGACTTGAAATTTAACAGAAGGTAGGTAATAGCCTAAGGATCAAAATCTATATCGAACCAAAGTGCGCCAAAGCCTAGGGGGTGGTTGCCACCCCATCTCCGGGGTGAAAATTTTTTTTACGCTTTAACTACAGGTTTCGATTAGAAAAGTGATTCTAAACAAAAAATGTGCTATACATTTTTTTTATAAAATGATATTTTTCAAGTTATTCGCGATTGAAAGTAACAACTTTTAGACGAAAAAATCGACGTTTTTAATCGATTTTTCGCGAATAACTCGAAAATGGTGCATTTTATCAAAAAAATTGTAGAGAACAAATTTGTAGCTTTTAAAAAGACAAATACAATTACAAATACAATATCAATGTTCAGCGGTTTTCTTCAAATGCCAAATTTGAAAGATTCAAAGTCAAATATCGGGAAAATGATGCATTTTTGGAAGAAAACTCACAAAACCTTTTTTAAAGAGCATAAATAGACCTATCATAAAAAAATAAGGTCAATACCTCATTTTTTACGAAAAAATCGAGGAAAACAACACCCTAACCACCCCCATAATTAAAATCGATCTTCACCCTTTTGCAATTCCCTTTGTAGATGTATTGTTAATACTTCCAAAAGGTTTGACCCATTTAAAATGCTTAGTTTTAGAAAAAGTACAGCTTAAAGCGAGAAACGATTTACAATTTCATATTTTTTACCCTTCTTTTTTTAAATATGCCAAAAAATACTGAATATATGAAAAAAATAAAAATTACCAAATTGTAGCTTTTTTAATGACTAAAATTATCCTTTATTTAGATTTGTTGTACAATGAATATTTGGCGAGATATAGCCGTTTAAAGCATCGATTTACGATCAAGCACCATCTTTTTCGGGCCCTTTAAACTCACCCCATTTAAAAACCAAGGGTTCCAAAAAGATTTAATTCACAGATCCTTGTAGCTATTAAAAACCTCTACAAATCGTTTTTGAAGAAACATCTATCGTTAAAAATTAAAGGAAATACTTTAAAAAACCAGTTAATTTTTTTCCGGAAAATTCCATTAGTATAGTACAGTACATTTCGGAGCATAATAATCTACAAAACCGGTATATTAGCTAGTGGGGCGTTATACATTCGAAATTTTAAGCGTTCTTATTTTGAAATCCCATACAACAGAATAAAACATCTGCTCATATGTCTATGGCTTGGCAATGAAAATATCAGAGCAACAGATTGGGGATGGTTTTCCAAAGATGGTTTGTTATTACCCGTACGCATGAACAAACAACCTGCACCCGATAAATTTTTGAAAATTATTTTTTGCCAATGCAAAAAATAGTGCGGCGTTTCATATGGGTGCAGAAAAGTTGGTTTATACTGTAACTCTACTTGTTCTGGGTGCTCAGGTGAAGGGTGCAATAACAGTCCACCAATAATTGAGGAAGATGATGATGATATAGATCACGATGAAGATGTAATTGATGACGAATAAAATTAATATTATAATTGTTTTACCTATAAATGTAAATATTTTCAACTATTTATGTAAATGTATAAGAATATATGGTGCCTTTTTATGTTGATAATTTTTTTTGTATTTAATTCTACTTTTTTCAATTTATATCTTATAAATTAGTTTATAAAAACTTCAATGTTGTAAAGGGTGATTTTCAAAAGTTGAAAGTTGCAAAATTTTGGCAAAAAATTGTTTTCACCTATAGCACTCATAACAATTGATTTTTAAGGGTTGAAAATGTATGAATTTGTATTTCAAAGTATAAAAAACTCACTATTTAACTAATCCAAACCAAATTTCACTCATCTTAGGATTTGTAATATTATTTTACAATTTTTGAAAATTAGGGGTAGTTTTCACCCCTAAGAACAATCAGGGTTCATCGGCATGACATAAACTATAAAGCAGAGGGTGAGTTGAGCTTAATTCCAAATTTTTATGCTAGTCGTTTCAAGGTGAAATCATTTTCTTCGCATTACTAATTTTTTTATATTAATCTCTAATGAGGGTCGCTTTTTAAGGGTTGAAATATGATGGAACTTTATTGAAAAGCACGAAACTATCATTATTTAATTAATTCAAACCAAATTTTACCTATATTCAGGTTTAATATGGTATTTTATAATTTTTGACAATTAGGGGTAGTTTTCACCCCGAAGAACAATCAGGGTTCGTCGACATGACATAAACTATAAAGCAGCGGGTGAATTGAGCTTAAATCCAAATTTTTATCCAAATGATACAAGGCGAAATCATTTTTTTAGAATTAGTAATTTTTTACATTAATCTCTAACAAGGGTTGCTTTTTAAGGGTTGAAATATGATGGAACTCTATTCAAAAGTATAAAGTAATCATTATTTAATTAACTCAAACCAAATCTTACCCATATTCAGGTTTAATATGTTATTTTATAATTTTTGACAATTGTACATGTATGTACATGACAATACATCGAGGGAACCACAAATTGGAACAACTGAAACAAGACTTTCTCAAACCAGATTTAATAGACTCCTTTGATATCTTTATTAACAAATGCAGCATGAAGATTACTTTAAATGAGTGGAATCAAAAAGTGACGAATCACAGTGTATATTTTTATTTTTTAAACATTCAAGAATGAAATGACTCATATGAAATTGGTCAAAGATATTAAATATTGTTAAAATTTCAAAAAATTTAGAAGTTACTGTATATAGCTATAGGTGAAAATTTGTTAAGTGACAATGATTTAAAATGGATTGTGACAGATGATAAATTAGAAAGATGGTCTTAACTGGAAAATATCCTAACTTAGTTGTTATTAATATTCAATCTATTCGAAATAAGACTGACGAGATATTTTTGTATACCACAAAGTGCTAGGTATGCTCGTCAAAGTTCAGCTTATCAGTTGGATCAACTCTAATTTTTTCAACTCTTTATTCAATTATAACCACTGATTTACTTACAATAAAGGTTTCGTCTGACTCTAACTCATATCTTGTGGATAAGATAGTTGCTAAGGAGCCACTCGGCTCCTGGTTTAAAATGATAGCCAAATCAATATCGTTAATTCTGTAATATTTACTAGGTATTCTTATCGATAGTAATTGTAAATGATCCTTGCATACTGATTCCTGAAGTAAGAAATTAGCCTCAGCTTGCTTTGCCAAAAGATCTGTGTCAATAATCTGCATCGCCTTGTATATATTTTGGAAACTATTTTATTCGCAAGCATCTAAAAATTTTTCCTAAAAGACCTGATCATGGCTACTCCATTATAAGTTCTGGTTATGATGTTTATTTACTGATCTTGGCCTCTGAGTAAGTACAGAATTCTATTCTATATAGTGCAAAAAAACTATATACATAATCACCTACTGGGACAAATTAAATCCGCAACATCTTTCACCCAGTTCTGTAAAATGACAAAAACTTATCTCTCTGAAAGACTATATTATTCAGTCCATGAGGTTCTTAATAAATAACAAAGAAACAAAATTATTAGTATTCTGTACATTTACATTTGAGTTTATCACACACTAGCTACAATTTGTTTTAAAGTGTGTCGTTGCCTGTACAAATGGTGAAAGTTGTACAATAATTTTACTAATTTAAGATTGTTTTGTTATTTTATATTATTTGACTTTTTTGTTAGCTTTGTCCATAAAATTGTACAAGTTTCAGTGACAGTGATTACAGTGTTAATGTAACCTCTTCTTTTGTTAATGTAATATCAATAAAATTAATGAGACATAAAAAGTTGTGCACTGAGCTAAAAAAGTATCTATGTAATTAAAAGTGTTTTTTATCAAGAATGTTGTAATTCAAAATGATTGATGTATGACTCTCCTGTATGCATTTTTTACGGCTTGTATACCATGACCAAGAGGTAGAAAAAAATATTTATAGGCTTAAAACAACTAAAGTACGAAAATATTACGTAAGCGCCGAAAAAAAAAGGTTAACAGAAAGAAAACCCCAACGAATAAATAAAAAATTCGAAGAAACTGGATTCATTTAATTTTTAAAAAAGATATGTGGATACTTTGGGCAAATTTGTATCACATTATTGTATGATATGTTGTAATACGTCCTTCCTAAGGTCCACGCCTTCCGGTCTTCTGTCATTTCCTTCTTGCATTGTTTTTCCCCTGTTGGTCCCGATGGCTCCGATGGTTTGTTCCATCCAACTCTTTTTTAGGTATACCTCTTTTTCTTCTTGCTTGTCGTTTGACCTCTATCACTTTCTTTAGAGTCTTTACCAGTTCAGTCTTTATTTTTCTATTTTTTTCTTTAGTGTTTCGTGCTTTAGCTCGCTTCCGATGTTTTCGTTTCTTTTAGTTGCTTTATTTCAAAAGAAGTCAAACAATAATATACCAACAATAGCGGATTAACAGCAGGTCCTAAGACATAACCTACAATCTTATACACAATAAATATGCAACACAGAATATACAAAACACAAATCGAGGCCAAGTAAGTCAATTTTGAAATAACACATAAATGACATTAAGTTATTATGTCATAAATGAAACGTCAAACACTAGTTAGTTAAAATGGAATTTTTATTACAACCAACAATTGTGGCTTAATCTCTTATGCACATGCCTATAATTTTGGTTTAGTGACTAACCAAACTTTTTCACACTCTTTTTTCATTTTCTTAGTAGTTATTTTATCATTCCGTTTTGATTTTTGAATTTTTTATTATTAATTTTTCTCATATCTCTTGTGCGTTCTTTATTATTACATTTTCGTTTTGATCAAATATTTCATTTCCTACCAATCAATGCTGTCGTAGTTGTGGATAATGCCGGTTACCGTTTATGATTAAAAAAAAATAGCGGATTAAAAGCTATATTAACATCATAGTTTTATAACAACATTATGTACAATCTTTTACAACTACATGTAATGTAAAGGGTTTTTACCCTGATATTTTGGTGGCTCAGGCATTTTAACCTAGCAATTTTAAACCTGATGATGGACTGTTTAGTCCGAAAACGTTTGTTTTTTTTTTATGTAGCCCTTTTAAGGGTTTTTAAATATACCCATTTACGAAGATTAACTTCTTTTTTGTGATACGTGGTATACGGCCAGCTACAGGAATTGTTTTCCTTGTAGATTTTGTTTATGATTTCTTCTTCTTCTTATGGTGCCTATCCATTACGGATGTTGGACACTAACAGGGCTATTCTGAGTTTGTTGACTGCTGCCTGAAAAGTCCGGTATTGGTTAAGTTAAACCATTTTCGCAGGTTATGCAGCCAGGATATTCTTCTCCGTCCTGGACCTTTTTTCCCATGCACTTTACCTTGAAGTATGGTCCGAAGTAGGTCATATCGTTGTTCATTGCGCATTATATCGCCCAGGTATTCTAGTCTGCGACGTTTTATGGTTACGACTAGTTCGCGCTCTTTACCCATTCTATGTAGTACTCTGTCTATCCAGGAAATCCTCAACATGCGTCTATAGCACCACATCTCAAATGCTTCAAGTCTCTTCAGTGATGCTTCAGTTAAGGTCCATGACTCTACTCTATATAAAAGAACGGAAAATACGTAGAATTTTAGTAAACGAACTTTTATTTCCAATTTTATGTCGTGGCTGTTAAAGATTTTTCCTTTTGACGAAAGCTGATCTTGCCTTCTCGAACCTTATCTTAATTTCCGTCGATTGGTCCCACTGTTCACTTAAGTTTGCACCCAGATAACAAAAGTTAGTGATTTGTGTTATAGGTTGTTGGTTAACTAGTAATTGACCAGGTGGTATCCTATTTTTGTTTATAACCATGTATTTGGTTTTTTTATGTTAAAATCGAGCCCAAACCTGCTACTTACTTCTGCCACCCTGGAGACAAGTGTCTGCAGACCTTCAAGACTGTCTGCAAAAATGACAGTATTATCAGCGTATCTTATGTTGTTCAATCGTTCTCCGTTTATAAGTATTCCCTCGTCTATATCCGTTAGCGCTAGGTTCATAATGTGCTCTGAATATGTATTGAACAATAATCGGGACAATATACATCCCTGTAGTACACGTCTTTTTATCTTTATATCGTCGTTTATGATTTAGCTAACAGTAATTGGGAAACGAAAGAACTCTTAGATTGGTTACTAAGCAAAGAAAGGAAGATGAACGAATACTTAAAACAAGCTTGTATAAATGTGTAGATTACATATACCAAAATTTAAGAATTATGCTGCAGATGAAGTAACAAAATAAAGTTGAGCTACGGTTGCGATTAGCATCTTACCATTGCGTACTTAACCCCATTCGACTAATTTGGTCTCAAAAGAAGGGATATGCCTCGAGAAAAAATATTACATTTAACTTAAAGCTATTCGTCAACTGGTAAAAGGCTCAATATCAAAAATTTCATCTGATTGGCAAAAGTTATACGATATGTCATAGCAGAGAAAGAAAAAATCTGGAAACTCAATATAATACAGGAAGAAAAAAATAGAGCCATTTATAATTTATTTGGAAAATGACGAATAAAATTTGTCGACCTGGTTATATTATTTTTATAAATTTTTGTACAAAAATGAAACCAGAAGGTATCGATATTTATAACTTTTTTGTTTTGAAGATTCCTATATAAAGACTGTTGTGATCTTCTGCTATAAAAACTGTGCTATCAGGCATTTCCAAATCCAATTTAAGCTTGATTATTTTTTTATAAACCTTGTATCGCATACGCTATTTGCCATTAAAGCCTACTTTACTTGGTTGGAAATGAAAGTGATAATAATTTTTTAAATTAGATTAGTTAACTTATTTTTATTCAATGAAAACTGCATTTGCGGAAAATACGAGTGATTATTTGAGTTATTAAAGGTTCCAAGTTATACGTAGTTGCGTCGCATTGAGATCACTTTGTCCGCGTTATCAATGTTTAAACTTTTTATTAGTTTTTAAAAACGGCAACCGTGACAACGCTGTGCTTGCCTAGGTGCTCTTTGACAAAGACAATGTGTAACAGGTAAAAGGGTGTGTAAAAGTAACTCAATATAAATGCATATATCTAGTTGTGTATTTATTCTATTTCCAGCTTTTCTATACCAGCGAACAGTACACACAGTCAGCGCTACGTAACTTAATCGTATAACAGGACCTTAAAGAAAAACATTATATTCAAATTATTGCATACTTACTTGTCGTAAATGAGGAAGGTCAATTTGTTTGCTTTCTCGAATATTGCCACTACTAGCATACCTGGTTAGCTCTGACGGTTGTGCGTGTTGTTTGAGTAGATCTTCGCTTTTAGAGCTACGCATTTCGTTATAACGGGATAAGTCGCTATTTTGAATTTGCGCTTCCGATATACGAATGTTACCTTGACTTGGGTACCTAGAGTCATATTAATATATTAAAAGCTGTTGTGTAACAGTACAAAATGCAATACAAAAGTACAAAATACTGTGAAGAATTGTATTATTTAAATATATTATTTTAAAATCATATTCTGAAATTGTATCAAATAGCTGATAAGATATTAAACATCTAACGTACATAAGTAAGTGCTTTATTTAGAATACTATTTTAGTCATGAAACTTTTTGTAAAGCTAAAGAAACATACAAAGCTTCATGAGTTTCTTTTAGTCTATAATGCAATTGTATCTAACAATTGCATTATAGACATTATATCTAACACCGTGCCGGTGTTAGTTTCTAAGAAGGAGAGGTTCTGAACTGAGTAGGGGCTTCTCAGTACTTCTTGGAAAACACACTCGGAGGGGGGCAGCTCTCAACCCCGACACGGCGCGTCCCAATGGCTGATAGGGAACGTCCTACAGATATGTAGGACAGGTGCGAATAAGGCTTTGCCAAATAAACACCCGCGGATCAACTGAGAGCATGGCATAGGGCAGCAGCTATGTCATTACAGGATCAGAGCGGTAGAGACAAGATCTCTGTATCGGTCTGATACCGGATAGTCACGGGCGGTAATCAAATTATGATTTAACCGGTTGTAATAGTGCGGTGCAGAAAGCAACGGGAAACTACTGCACTGTATTTTCCCTAGTAAAGTAACCTATGCAAAACAAAAATTTAACGGCCCCTAGTCCGCGGCAGACCTTAAGTGGTCAGGGGGTGCAAAGAATCCCCGCGAGGAGGAACCACCCGAAAGTGGAATACATTAATAACCAATCCTTGGTACGAATAGGCACTTGGAACGTACAAAGTATGTTTGAACCCGGGAAAGTTCAAAATACCATTCGTGAAATGAAAAGACTTGGAGTGGACATACTAGGTATAAGTGAGATGAGATGGTTTGGTTCTGGAAATGTATCCATCGATGACTACACAATATACTACTCGGGGAACGAACAGCAGAGACACTGGAATGGTGTAGGCCTTATAGTAACAGAGCAGATAAAAAAAGCAGTAATTGATTTCATACCCTATTCTGATCGAATGCTTCTTTTGAAATTACAGAGTAAGCCCGTAAACATAAACATACTCCAAGTTTATGCACTAACTGCTGACAAGTCGGATGATGAAATAGAGCAGTTCTATGAGAATCTCCAAGAATTACTTAAAATGACAAAGAGTTATAAAACAACATTAATCGTAGGAGATTTTAATGCCAAAGTGGGTTGTGGAAAAGTGGAACATATTTGTGGAAATTACGGACTGGGCAATCGCAATGATAGAGGTGACAGACTACTACAATTTTGCCAGGAGAAACAACTAACTATCATGAACACCTGGTTCAAGCTACCACTACGGAGGCTATATACGTGGAAATCACCCGCAGATAATAAAAACAATTGTGTCCGAAATCAAATCGATTACATTATTATAAACCAGCGATATAAAAATGCAGTAACGGATACAAGAACATACCCAGGCGCAGATGTTCCATCGGATCACAACCTACTAGTGGCTAAATTAAAAATAAAGTTCAAAATGCTAAAAAAGACTGTCAAAAGAAAAACCGACATCAATTTACTTAAACAAGAAAATATACAAAGTATGGTAAAGACTAAACTCAACGAGGAATGTGAAAGACTCCAAAGAGAGTTATCACCAACTACAGAAGGCTTATGGACTGAAGTCAAGAATGCTTTTACTAGCGCCGAGAAATATATAAAAGACACTAATAACAAAAGAAAATCTAAACCCTGGATGACACAAAAAATTCTGGGAATGATGGATACTCGAAGAGCCTACAAAAATAAAGATAATGAAAAATATAGGGAGATACATCGTCAAATCAAGAAAGAAATAGCTACCGCAAAAGAAAATTGGTTGATAGAAAACTGCCAAGAGATCGAAGAATTAATAAAGAAACACGACAGTCAAACGCTTCACAAAAAAATAAAAGATCTAGCTGGAATGACAAAACAAAGACTCCCTTGTAGATTAACAAACGACGAGAATGAAACGATATGGGAATTAAGCGATCTAAACAACGTATGGGGACATTACATAGAAGAACTATTCTCGGACACACCACTAAACAACATAATATATAAAAACCATGAAACCAGTCCTCCTATATTAAAACAAGAAGTAGAGAGAGCAATCAAAAACGCAAAAAATGGGAAAGCCCCTGGCCCCGATGACATACATACGGAAGTCATAAAGCTACTGGAAGAGAAACATTTAAATATAATCGTCAAATTATTTAATCAAATATATACAAGCGGTGAAATTCCACAAGACTGGTTAAAATCAGTCTTTATTCCCCTTCCAAAAACTAAGGGAGCAAAGAAGTGTGGTGATTTCAGACTTATTAGTTTAATGTCGCATATGTTAAAGTTATTCTTGAAAGTTATTCACCAACGCATTTATAAGAAATGTGAACAGGATATCAGTGATGAACAATTTGGCTTCCGAAATGGATTTGGGACACGGGAAGCATTAACCAGTTTTATTATACTGCTGCAAAAATGTCGAGACCAAAAAAAGGATCTCTTTTTATGTTTTATTGACTATCAAAAGGCCTTCAACAAAGTAAAACATGATAAGCTGATGGATTGCCTTCACAAAAAGGGACTAGACGAGAACGATTTTAAAATTATCCAAACGCTGTATTTTAACCAAACTGCAGCAGTTAGAACAGAAGCCGGTGACACAGAAATATTCAATATCGACAGCGAGGTGTACGACAGGGGTGTGTATTGTCACCACTACTTTTCAATATATATTAGGAAGAAATCTTTGCACGAGCACTAGAGCAATCAAGAGAAGGTGTTAAAATTAACGGCAGAGTTCTAAATAATGTACGATACGCCGACGACACGGTCCTAATTGCAGAGAGCGCACAGGATCTCCAGACACTCTTAGATCGCGTCAGATCGATCGGAGAACAATACGGCCTCAGCATTAACGTCAAGAAAACAAAAACAATGATTGTCTCCAAAACATCCATCCATCCACCCATGGCTTTAAACGTGAATGGTAACATTATCGAAAATGTCGAGAAATTTCGATATCTAGGGTGCTGGATAACGAAAGATATAGATCCAGACATAGAAATAAAATCGCGAATTGAACAAGCAAGAAATGTCTTTTTAAAAATGAAACAAATGTTTACGTCCCAAACACTCAATCTCAAAATCCGATACCGAATGCTGAAATGTTACGTTTACAGCACCTTACTATATGGAATGGAGGCCTGGGCCTTCAAAATCAACTCACTAAGGCGTTTGGAAAGTTTTGAAATGTGGTTATTTCGAAGAATGCTTAAAGTCCCCTGGACAGCGCATATGAGCAACGAGCAGGTCCTACACAAGATGGGTACCGACAGAGAACTCTTAAAAATAATGAAAACACGGAAAACCTCATATTTGGGACACATATACAGAAATGAGAAATACCAGCTACTGCAGCTTCTTATAGAGGGGAAGGTAGAAGGAAAACGTGGTCCTGGTAGACGGCAGGCGTCCTGGTTAAAGAACATTCGTGAGTGGACTGGTTTGGATTCTCAATCTTTAATAAGAAAAGCCAGGGACAGAAATGATTTTGCTGAGGTTATCGCCAACCTTCATTGAAGACGGCACCCGAAGAAGAAGAAGATAATGCAATTGTATCTAATATCTGGTATTTTGCTTCATCCCTTGGGTCTTTACCCGTAAAAAATTAAACTGGCCCAGGTGTTAAAGTTAAACGACCATAGACGACGACTTGTGTTCGCTGAATTGGCTCATTTTTGGAACCGACACTAATTTTAATCGAAAAATGATCTTCAGTAAAGATATTGACATTATAAAGAAATTGGGGAGTCCATTGAGATACTATTTATTTTTCTGTAGAATTACTTTTGGAGGATGAAATAAGTGTTGGATATGCAATGTTAATGAGATTTAAGTGGTCTTGCTGGAACTGTTTTTAGTTTGTAGAATGTTTAGGGTTTCATCTACAAGAATGTATGTAAAAAGTTAAAGGATGTATAAACTTACTAAAATGTCTGAGGGTGAGATAGAGTATTACCAGCACCATGTAATACCAGCACGATGGAAGGAAAACATAATAGTGCCCATCCACAAAAAAAGGGGACAAAACAAAATGCGCGAATTATAGAGGAATCTCACTTCTAAACACGGCATATAAAACCCTCTCAAACATTATTCTTAGTAGACTAATCCTTTATGCTGAAAATGTCCTAGGCGAATATCAAGCCGGGTTTAGGGCAAACAGATCAACAATAGATCAACTATTCACGCTGCGACAACTTCTAGAAAATGGATGGGAGTATAACAGACTCATACACAATCTTTTCAAGTATGGAATGCCATGGCAGATTTCTCAATACCAAAGAAACTCATTCCGATGACCAAAGTCTGTATGGAGGGTGGAATATCTAAAGTATGTGTAAATAATAAACTGTCTGGCAACTGAAATCAACAGTGGACTTAAACAGTGTGATGCGTTATCTCCACTACTTTTTAAGATTGTATTAGAAAAAGCCATGAGGTCGGCCGATATAAAAACAGAATTTATATCGGTTCAAGGTCCCAAGCTGTTACTCGCATATGCAGATGACATAGATCTCGTTGGAGACTCCATCCTATCCACGAAAGACATTTTCAACAAGGTGGAAGGAGCAACAAGTGAAGTAGGGCTGAAGATTAATGAAGAGAAGACGAAATATATGTGTATAAATAGAACGACGTTTTAAGTATCTGGGGGCCGTAATCACAGCTGACAACGATGTCACTGAAGAAATAAAAGAAAGAATCCAATCTGCAAACCGATGTCTATTTGCACTGGATAAGCTCATAAAATCAAAAAATCTCACAAGACGTTCAAAGATCAAAATCTATAAATCCATCGTCAGACCTGTAATAACATACGGATGCGAAACGTGGAGACCAAAGCAAACGAAGAAAAGCTCGGA